AGAAATACGTCAGCTAGAAATAGAGGACGGAACCTCACAGGGGCCAGTTTGGTGTCCTGGTGAAGTGTGCGGACTCTAATCTGGGAGAAACGGGTTTGATTCCCCACTCCTCCACTCGCAGCTGTTGGATGACCTTGGGCAAGCCATAGTTCTGTCAGAGCTGTTCTCTCAAGGACAGTTCTCAGAAGAGCTCTCTCAGCCCCGCCTACCTCACAGGGTGTCTGTTGTACGGAGCGTAAAGGAGAAGTGTTTGTGAGCCGCTCTGAGACACCTTTGGGTAGTGAAGTATAAATCCAATCTCTTCTCTTCTTCTGGAAGCCACACACCACACCAGTTGGCCTAGCTGCCTGCCAAGAGGGGCTGCTGGTTGTAACAAGTGGGCAGCATGAAGAAAAGTCATGTGCCAATACCCACAGACCATTTTTTGGGGGGGAAACATCTGGGTTTAATATCAGCAAGATAACATCAGCAAGAATCCCTGGTTCTGAGCGTGGCACACTGCTGGGTAGATGACTGGGTGGCTGGTTGGTGCAGCCTAGGGTTGCCAGCTTCCAGGTGGGACCTGGAGATCTCCCAGACTTACCACTGGCCTCCAGACAACAGAGAGAAGTTCCCCTGGAGGAAATGGCTGCTTTGGAGGGTGGACCCAGTGACATCACACAGCGTGGAGGTTCCTCTGCTCCGCAAACTCTGCCCCTTCCCCTGCTAGAGTTGGCAACCCTCGTTCAGCTTATTAGCCCTGTGACCTCCTGGCAGTTGCCTCACTGAGACTGGCCATCAGCAATGCTCCCTCTAAGCTGTGGAGTCTTGTGAGCCAAAATTCTACTTTGTGAGCCACTGGCATTAAAGCTGTGAGCCAGCCATTTGGCTCCTGCATGAATTCGTTTGCTCCGGAGCCATCCCTTCCTGAGCGAAGACAAAAATGTGTGCGCCGGAGGCTAAAAAACTGTGAGCTAGCTCACACTAACTCAGCTTAGAGGGAACACTGGTCATCGGCTGCCTCTGGCCTAGGAGAAAGGAATGACTCACAGGCAGGCCGAATCGATTTGGTCGCATCATGTATTATTTATTTCAACATTTCAAACATATTCCAAAAATAAATAAAGAAAGAAACGAAAATTTAAAAGCCAAGTGCCAATTCTACATGTATTGAGCATATCCCCACCCCCCCAGGTGGTCTCTGCAGGGGGTGAGGCTTAAAAAGAGGGGTCCTTTTGGTCTCACGGGGAGGAAGCACACGGTGCCCTCGCTCGGCTCAAGAGGGAACTGCTCTCCCTCGAAAGGAGCTTTGCCCTTGGTTAACCTCAGCACTCGTAGCCTCTAGACAGCCAGCTCATCTAGCAGAAACTGGGCTATTTTTAAAAACCCCTTTCCCTTTGCTAATGCGGGAGAACGTTAAGTGGAACAATATGGTGTCTAAATATTAATAGATGTAGAGAAAACCTTTTAGCCCGGGGACAGAACCCAGGAGACGGGTCTCAAGGCCAAACTGATGGGGATCTCTCCTTCTAGGAGACGGGAGGCCTCTGTTAAGAATTTGTGGTCTGGGGTTTTTTTGGGGGGTGGGAAGCGTTGTTTATTTATTTTATTTATTAAATTGAACTTACTCAGCCGCCCTTCCCTACAAGCTGGGATCAGGGCGGCTTACGACAAAATAGTATACAAAGTCCTTTGAGTTAAAACCAACATTAAAACCACGCCAAAACAGATCAGTAAATAAAACAATATATCTATCTATATATCTACACAAGAAAGTGTGTGTGTGTGGGGGGGAATCCAGCTCCCCAGCCTCCTGGTGGGGGGTCCGCAAAGGATGGGAAAGTTGGAGGAGAGCCATTTCTTCTAATCGAATATATTCAGTCTCTTCCCACACCCTTCATATTGACCCTAAGCCAGGTACCAGTCCTAGGCTTGTAGGTTGGGAAGTTGGGATGTGGGGAAATTCAGGGAAGGAGCTCCGAATCTGGTTAGTGCACAAATCACTTTGTCCCGAGGGATGCCACATTTTGTTTCCGGGCTGGGCGCCTGCACTTTTAAAGCGCTGCCTGGCAGGCAGACATTCAACAGGAGCGGCTGTCTCTCTCCACCCTGGGGAGCCCTGCACGCCCTTCCGTTCTGCCAGGGACAAACTCCTTCGGTCCCTTCTGCACTAGACCTTAAACCCTGGTTCAACCCTGTCCCTGAACTTACATTCCACACTACACGCAAGTTCACCCCTGTAATTCTCTCGGGGTATTTTCTGTCCCCACATTACGTCGAGGTTTTGCTCCACGCTTGTCCGGGATAAACGGATGCTGTTATCACCAGGGATAAATGCAAGGTATTGTGTCGCGAGTTGAACTCCGATAAAACCAGGGATGAGATCCAGGTGCGGAAAGGACCTTAAAGGCTGTGTGTGTGGGGGGGAGACCCTGCCCCCCGTCTCCTTAGGGGTTGTGGTGATGGGAGGAAGGCGGGAACGAGCAGCCAACCCATTTAGGGTTGCCAGCTGGCCTGGAGAACAAAAACGCCCTGCCTCATTAATAGGGGCTTCATGAGATGTTATGCCACAAAAAGATTCAGCGGCCCATTTCCACCCAAGAAGGCTTTATTCAAGGGGCAGGTGGGAACCCTAACATATGTTCTGAGCTCAAGAGACGGTCTAACTCCGGGATCTCCAACGGGGTGACCCCGGGCGTCACAGCACCTGCCGACACCGTCCCTGGTGCCCACCAGGTGTTTTTAGAAAGTGGGTGGGGCTGGGTGGGTCTTTTGCCCAGCAAGGCTTTGGATTGGCCCTTGGAGATTTGATTGACTTTGCAGAATTTTTAAAACATTGCTTTGGCGGCTGCTGCCACCACGGCAGAAGGCTCTCCGCCGAAGGTCAGCTGCGGCGGCCATCGTGTCGCTGCTTCCACAGTCGTTTTGTGGCCATGCTGTGTCAGGACTCCAAAGGAGCCTGCAGGCTCGGAAATGTTGGGGGGCCCTGTATAGTAGGGGGGGCAGAGCAATGGGCTGTTTCCAACCCCAAATGCACATTGCACCAATTTTCTCCATCCCCTTCTTTGAGACTTCCCCTCCTCTGCGACGTTTTGGCACCCAAATATCTTACAACTGAATATCAAGGCCGCTTCCCAGCTCTGGGCTAAGCACCCGGCAGGGGATGGTGGGGAAGGCAGGACCGGAAAGAAGGCAGGAGGGCCCTTAGAGCCAGGGGAACCTTCAGCCGGAGGGAGGGGGGGCTTTAATGGATTGATGCCCAGGACAGTCGGACTGTTCAGAGCGGCCGAGGAATTTGAAGGGCCGTCATGTAGAAGATGGAGCGGATCTATTCTCTCTTGCTCCAGATTGCAAGACTAGATCTAATGGGCGGAAATGACAAGGGAGTCGATACCGGCTCAATATCAGGAGAGACTTCCTAACTGTCAGAGTGGTTGAGCAGTGGAACAGTCTGCCTCGGGAGGGGGTGGGTGCTCCTTCACTGGACGTTTTCAAGGGGAGGCTGGACGACCCTCTTTCGGGTATGTTGTAGGGCTATCTTTTGGCTCTGCTCCTGCAGAGTGCAGGGGGTTGGACTAGATGACCTGCGAGGTCCCTTCCAACTCTAACATCCTATGATTCTAAGGAGGTTTTCAGAAGCCATCACTTTAATGTCCGTTACGGACCAGCGTTCCACCTGCTTCCATCAAACTGGGCGTGTGTCCAGCTGAGGAAGTTGCCGCCGGCCCGTAACCCCAATTTCGGCCCCTCGAATCCAAGCCGCTCCCCTCCCACCCCCCTTCCTCAAAGGTGTGTCGCCTCCTGCAGAGACCCCCCCTCCCAAAAGCAACAGAAGTGCTACTCTAGAGTAAGCCCCGAAGCAGAATCATTCTCGACCAAGAAAACGCAGCGTTCATAGATTTTTACAGCCAGGACAAGGGGCATGCGCGACCAACGTCCGCCCTGGAAGCGCGGCGTGTCCAAAGCCATGAGGTGTGCAAAGGAAAGAGGCGCTGGGTGCCCAGCTTGGGTGCTGAGCCTTTGTCTCTCCCCCCCCCTTGCCCCAAGGTGACCCTCGGCCCTGAGGACACTTCTATTAGGGATATTGCTTTAAGAAGAGAATGGCTCTGTCCCTGGAGAGGGGTGGAGATTTTCTCAACATGGAAGAACCGAGAAGTCAAGTAAGAACCAAGATGGCAGGAGAAAGAAGCCCACCTCCCCTCACTGGGGAGGGGAGACAAGGGGAACGTTGGGGGTGCAGGGAGGAAATGAGTGGTGGAAGCCAACCACAGGGGGAAACCAAGAGGCGCCAAGAAAGCCAAACTGAGGTGGATTCGGCTTCCCACCAAAATTGGCGGGGGGAAATAAGAGAGCTGTGAGGCGAAGCTTTGGTGCAAACATTAAACTCCTTTGCGGACTCCAGACCCACTTGACAACAGGGGACACAGTTGTCCTTTCTCAACGGTCACCGTTTCTCCCTGCTTCTCTTCTCCCTTTCTCTCCTGCGGGAAATCCCTGTGGTTCCTCACGGCCGCTCCTTCGCCCTAAAGAGTGCTGGGAACTGTAGTTGGGACGGGGCAGAGATCTCAGGGCCAAAACCAGCTATCGTTGCTTCCTCTTCAGGTATTTCCCCCCTGTTTTGTCCTAACGCCTTTGTATTGTCCAAGGTGGTTGGGCAGAAAATCCAAAATGGCGCCCACATAGGACCAACCAGTATGGGACCCCACGGCATGGCAGTTCTCTTGCGCG